TGCAGCATCACAATGAAACATAACACACACACACACACACACACACACACACACACATATATGGGGTGGGGTTTCATTAGTGACACCATCCCTACTATCTTGGCGATTGTAATGCTCCTCCCATGGCCAAGCATCCCTGTCTTGGCAATTGTGTTTAAGTGGGGAGTTGGCTCAGCATCTCCAAGACAGATAGCACTAATTGACTTTGAGAGCATTATGTGCAAGAGGCTGATCTCACCAAAAGAACACCACATCATGTCCTTCCCCAGAGGTGGGACTTCAACTCCACTTCACCAGTTCATTCCTACTAGAACTGGAAACCACAATTACTTAAACTCATGGTTGTGTCCCTTATATAATAGGGGGAAACCTGTATTTGGAGGGTGTGAGTGTCCACCTGGGGAGAAGTCAAAATGTCAAGTTGGCATCTGCATGTAAAAAGGGGTGGAACTTGAATCATGCAGGCACGATAGACATCTTGACATTATATCCTCCTCCAAGACTAGGAGAAGGAGATAGGAAGAAAGATGGAAGGGGGAAAAGTAAGTGAGAAGATATGTAGTAGCAAGGACCAACAATAACAGGTTTCTATAGCTCATGATTGGCTACTTTTGGCACACGGCTCTTCCCATGGATCTTTTTAATAAACAAGGAGACCAAGAAGATGACACCCTTGGTTTACTTCCATACACTTCCATGCCATACTACTACCGTGTGTGGCTTGGTGAATTACAAATTGCATTAACCAGTGTAATAAGGGAAGGGAAGATTCGCAGTAGTTTTGTTATCACTGGCTACACCTTCTCCTTATGTGGAAAGATGGTTTAATAGAAGAATCAGGATTCAGGAGGCCTATGCTGTCAGTTCACTTTTTCCATCTTTCAAAATATCTGACATTTTTTAGGGGAGGGAAGACATTAAAAAAATATATAATGCCAAACATCTTTGCCTCAAGGACTTTTGTCTGAATGTACAGGACCCTGGCTTGGAAGCTGCATCATGAAGTGTTTTGAATTGCAGGCTCATTCAGTGCTGAATGCAAATTTTGGGGTGTTTGACCAAATTCATTAGAAAAATTAATATTTTTTTTTCCTGGAAGGCTACCGTTTCTGTACTAAGGGGAAATAATAAATTATGCAAAACCTGCCCTCTTTATGATGGTTAGTATTTCCTCAGTGGAAGCTTCCAAAGATTAACATTTGCTAAACATCAGGGAGAAGAATAGAATAGAATGGAATAGAATAGAATAGAATG